TTATTTTGTTTGTTTACTAATTTTTTTATGTGGTGCTGAAGATCTAACCCATTGCCTTATATGTGCTGGGGAAGTGCTCTACCACTGAGCTACAACCTCAGTCCTAGCTCATGGCTTTTAACTTAAAGAGAGAGTCTGAAACCAAATTGACATTATATTTCAAAAATTTATAAAATAAAATTCTTGAAATATAAATAGTTATTTGATACAGTATGCGTGGACATTATACCAAAATTTTTAGAGTTATTATTTCTGGGTAGTGGCATTATGCATATTTGTATTTAGTTTTTCTTATAATTTTCCAGTAATACACAGATTATTGGCATAATTTGAAAACATTTTGATTTGCTACAAAAGAAACAAATTTACTCTGATTTTCATATTATACTTTTAAAAATGATTACTTATGTCACCAAATTGGGAATATCAGGAATGACAAGAACAAAAGATGAAAAATCAACATTACTACATTTCAATCAGTATTGTATTTATTTTACTTTTTCTCTATTTTCTTAACTCTTATAAATTTTTTTTTTAATGAACTGTTGCAGAATCCTCTAAGTAAACATTTAGATACTGCTTTCTTGATGTGAGTAGAAGGCTCTAAAAACATAGGAATAGGTTTCACCAGGGTCCAAGAGAAGGGAATGGCTCTTTCATATAAACCTCCACACACCCTTTTGTCCAGTACCATTTTAGGGGTGTCATTAATCATCCCATAGGCACTGATAGGGGCTACCTTTGTTACTCAGGCAGGATGCTTCCTGTTGCTAAGAGGCAGTCTACAGGAGTCCTGGAGGGGAAGTTAAGTGTGCCTCACTCCTGGGGTTAGGCTGCGTGCAAGGGAAGGCTAAGTGCTGGCTGAGGCTCAGCTAGCTCTTTTCAGCCCCTAACAATACCTCTTACTGTGGGTCTTTGCTGCTTCATTCCTCATTCTTCTCAGTGGCTTGCTTTCTTTTTCTGGTTTTTTTTTTTTTTTTTTTTTTTTTTTTAGTGGTGCTAGGAACTGAATCCAGGGCCTTATATCCACTAGGCAGCTCTATTACTGAGCTACATCCCCAGCTCCCATTTCAGTTGTATTTTGAGACAGGGTCTCCCTAAATTGTTCATGCTGGACTTGAATTTGAGACCATTCTACCTTAGCCTCCTGGTTAGCCAGGATTGAAGCTCTATGTCATAGTGCCTGGCCTCAAGTGGTGGCATTACGGATATTTCTCTTTTTCTTTTAGTCTGACTCTTTGTACTTTCATTATCTCCCCACCCCCACTCCCACTCTTCCTTTTTTTTTTTTTTTAACTGAAAGGATTTTGGATTTTGGTTTTTGTATGTATGTTTTTGTTTAGGATGAGAAGCCAAGAACAAAACGTTCTGCTTCTAAATACTTGAAGTCTGAAATCTCTCTATTTCCCCCAAGGACTTAGAACTTCAGAAACCAAAGCCAGAACATTATTCTGGGCTTCATCTTTTCAATTCTTTCCCCAGAGGCAACAAGCACAAAGTGGTCTAGTAAATGATTGAAAAGTTTAGGGTAGAAGGAGAGAGGAAAAAAGTAATTAAACAAATTAATTAAACAAATTAGTGACAATATAGAGGTAGGTAGACATAGGTTTAATAAATAAGGAGGACACTATTTTTTCTATTATTATTATTATTATTATTGGTACTGGTGATTGAACACAGATCTACCATGAGCTACATCCTCAGCCTTTTTTAAGTTTTATTTGGAGACAGAGTCTGGCTAAATTGCTGAGGCTAACTTTGAACCTGGAATTCTCCTGCCTCAGCCTCCCAAGTCACTGGATGACAGTTGTGCACCACTGTGCATGGCTTAATGATTATTTTTCTGCACTGGATCTAAAAAGGCAGTCATTTGCTCTCCTCTTCTGGAAAATCCTAACCTTCCATCATTAGTCTGCCATTCGTTCAGCAGGAAAAGAACAGATGATTGTTGGGATTAACTGTTTAGGAAAACCGGCAGCCACCATTCCCATCAAGCCTTGCAGCCCTACCTTCAATGTGTCTCAAATGATGAATGAAGGCATCTGCCTTTTTTTCTTGTATGGGATAATTCTCCACTGAAAATTCCTGCTTTGTCCTTACCTTAACCTAAATCAAGTTTTTCCAGAAAGACCTCACATAGCTTTCTGCAGCACCAAGAATTTCCCTTCACTCCATGCTCCAATTCTTTTCCTCTCCCTGCTGCTTTTTCAGATCCACATTGTTTAACTCTCATCTAGGAAGCCCAATCTCTTGGAGTCATATTCTCTTTTCATATAATGTAAATTCTACTTCATTGTAATAGGTTATTGCAATGGTGTCAGACCCTCTGAGAAAAGAGTATTTTACGGAAATAAAAGATGCGATTATGCTCCAGCTTTTCTCACACAATTGCTCACACTTCACACATTTCTCTTTCTCAGCACCAATTTCAAAAAATGATCTTTTTCTCTCCCTTGCATATTATTTGTTTTCTGTGTGCTACCTCACATACCATCTGAAAGTGTGATCAAAACAGTTATGTTTGTGAATACCTTTATTTTGCCTTGTTTGTTAGATGAAAGAGGAGTTAACAATAGGTCTCTAGGTTTCTAGAGACAGCCAAGGAAAATATTCTCCTAGCAGTATTTATCTACAGTTCTCCATTTAGGCATAAAATATTTTATAGAGAAATATGCCAGCTGGGCAAGGGTAGCTCATACTCTGTAATCCCAGGCACTAGAGAGGATGAGGCAGGAGACTGAGCAATTCAGGGAGACCCTGTCTCAAAGTAAAACATTAAAAATATAAAGGGCAGGGGATGTAGCTCAGTGGAGTGGGAGAGCATCCCAGATTACATCCTCTTAACTGAAAAAAGAAAATAAATGCAGCAGCCAAATAACTGCCATGCAGTCAATACACTTAAAGTAAGTTTACTTAGCATAACTCTATATGGTTGGTGAGAATACAATGATTTTTTTTTTTTTTAATTCCAGCCGGGAGCCAGGGTGCACACCTGTAATCCCAGTGGCTCTGGAGGCTGAGGCAGGAGGATCAAGAGTTCAAAGCCAGCTCAGCAAAAGTGAGGTGCTAAGCAACTCAATGAGACCCTGTCTCTAAATAAAATGCAAAATAGGGGGGTCATGGCTCAGTGGTCAAGTGCTCCTGAGTTCAATCCACGGTACCAAGTTTTTATTCATACATTATAGTTGTACATAATGGTGAGATTAGTTGTTACATATTCGTACATGCACACAATATAACAACATAATCTGGCCAATATTAATCCCCTGTCTCTCCCTTTTCCCTCTGCCTGATCTCCTTCCTCTACTGTACTTCTTTTGATTTTTTTCAGAGATCCTTCCCTCTCACTTTTTTTTGATTTCCTCTCTAGTGACACATAGGAGAGAAAGCACACGACTCTTGACTTTCTGAGTTCTTAATATAATGTTCTCAAGTTCCATCCATTTTCCTGAAAATGATAAAATTTCATTTTTAGGGCCGACTAAAACTCCACTGTATAGGTAGGTATACCACATTTTATCCACCCTTCATCCATTAAGAGACATCTAGGCTGGGAGAATATGATGATTTTAAAACAGACAGTCTCAGGAATGTCATGACTGAAGGAGAGGCACTGTATCATGCTTATCTGAATACACGAAAGTAGAGGATAGAGGCCCTGCTTTTGCTAGAACTGAAAGATGTTCTCCACATGGCTTCTGAGGTTGGGTGACTTCTTTGGAGAAGGACCAGGCTTTGGAGAGGAACCAGGTGGGAAGCACTAACATGTTCAATGAGGACACCCAGAAGAGCTTTAACTAATCCCAAAAGGCATATCAGAGATCCATTTTTCACACCTCAATCATCGCATTAAGTGAGATCGTTAAGTTAAACCTCTTGTTGTATTCTGGTAGTATCTTTAATCCCTGATTATTGAATGAAATTTTACTTAGTTGTAGAATTCTAAGTTGACAGGTAATTTCCCTGACAACTTGGAAGATAATGTTTCCCCATTGCCTATTCTTTTCTTTCTTTCTTTCTTTCTTTCTTTCTTTCTTTCTTTCTTTCTTTCTTTCTTTCTTTCTTTCTTTCTTTCTTTTATTTTATTTTATTTGTGTGTGTGTGTGTGGTGGCAGGTACTGGTGATTGAACTCAGGGGCACTAAACCACTGAGCCACATCCCCAGGTCTATTTTTTATTTTATTTAGGAATAGGGTCTCACTGAGTTGCTTAGCCCCTCACTTTTGCTGACGCTGGCTTTGAACTTGTGATCTTCCTGCCTCAGCCTCCCAAACCATTGGGATTACAGGCGTGTGCCACCACACCTGTCTGCCTGTTCTTATTGTTGATGAAAAGAAGTCTCCACCAACTAGTTGTCCTTCCTTTGCAGATCATCGGCATTGCCTCTCTGGGTGACTCTTTGTCTTTACTGTCTTACATTTATTTCAGTGTGGTATATCCAGGTATGGATTTATTCTTACTGAGTTTGTTCAGATCTTAGAGTACTTCCTAAATCTGAAAAGGCACAATTATGAAAATGTCACCACAAAGCATTTTAAAAAGATTACTGTAAAATAATTTCAACTTACAGATAAGCTTGAAAATAAAAAATGAAAAAATCAACATAGCACAAATAATATTCAAACACACTTTTACCTTAATTTGCTTTTTACGTTTTCCTTGCTCTTCCCACTGTACTGGGGATTAAATCTAGGGATGCTTTTCCACTCAACTATAGCCCCAGTCCTTCATGTTTTTTTTTTTTTTTTTTATTTTCAAACAGAATTTTTCTAAGTTGGAGAGGCTGGTTTTGAACTTGTGATCCTCCTGCTCCAGCCTCCCTAGTACTGGATATAGGCATGTGCCATTGTTCCCAACTTGCCTATATTTATTAAACCTAACTGGGTTGTCATTTTTTCTCTCTCTCTTAATGTATATTCTGTTTCAGTCCTTAGACTTGTTAGAAATAGCGAGGTGCACAAGAAATCAAACATGTGCTTAAAAGTTGGTGGGCAAAGGCTGTGGATATGGCTCAGTGGTAGAGTGCTTGCCTAGCATGCATGAGGCCCTGGGTTCGATCCCCAGTATCACATACACACATACACACACACACAAATGGGTTGATAAGGCAAAACTTGTGCTATAGGAACCTGGCTAGCAAGTACACCTGGGTAGGCAGTCCACTTGTTTATCTACCTTACCCAGCACTGCTCGCAGTGGCACACGCCTGTAATCCCAGAGGATTGGGAGTTGGAGGTAGGAAGATTGCGAGTTCAAAGTCAGCTTCATCAAAAGCAAGGTGCTAAGCAACTCAGTAAGATCCTATCTCTAAATAAAATACAAAATAGGGCTGGGATGTGGCTTAGTGGTCAAGTGCCCTTGAGTTCAATCCCTGGTACCCAGCCCCCCTCCCCCCCAAATTTCAAATATCAATATTTCGATGTAAATAAAAAGCTACATTTTGTGGATATAAAAATGTGGCATATTATACACAATGGAATATTTCTCAGCAATAAAAGATAATAAAATCATGGCATTTTCAGGTAAATGGATGGAGTTAGAGAAGATAATGCTAAGTGAAGTTAGCCAATCCCCCAAAAAAACAAATGCTGAATGTTTTCTCTGATATAAGGAGGCTGACTCATAGTGGGGTAGGGAGGGAGAGCATGGGAGGATTAGATGAATTCTAGATAGGGAAGAGGGGTGGGAGGGGAAGGGAAGTGGGACATGGGATTAGAAATGATGGTGGAAAGTGATGGACATTATTATCCAAAGTACATGTATGAAGACATGAATTGAGTGAATATACTTTATATACAAAGATATGAAAAACTGTGCTCTATATGTATAATAAGAATTGTAATGCATTCCACTGTCATCTATAAATAAAAAAATAATTAAAAAAAGATAAAATAAAGTGCCCTATAAGAAAAAAAGCTACATTTTGGTAATTTTAGAAAGCGCTACAAAGGAGTCAAAAACAGAATTATTTTCTGATCTACTCTTTTAATTAATTTGTTTATTTTTATTTAATTAATTAATTTTTTTATACAAATGGAGCCCAACTTTTCATTTCTCTGGTTGTACATGATGTAGAATCACACCATTTGTGCAGTCATAACTATACATAGGAGTAATAATGTTCAACTCATCCCACCATCCTCCCCAACATGGTTCTGCTCAAAGTTCTTCCATTATTTCCTTGCCCTGCCCCACCCCCCTCCATTATGGATCAGCATCCAGTTATCAGAGAAAATATTTAGCCTTTGGTTTTAGAGGATTGGCTTACTTCACTTAGTGTGATATACTCCAACTCCATCCACTTACCTGTAAATGCCATAATTTTATTCTTCTTTTAAGGCTGAGTAATATTCCATTGTGTGTGTGTGTGTGTGTGTGTGTGTGTGTATTTCTTCATCCATTCATCTATTGAAGGGCATCAGGGCTGTTTCCATAGTTTAGCTATTGTGAATTGAGCTTATCTAAACATTGACGTGGTTGCATCACTGTAGCATGGTGATTTTAAGTCCTTTGGGTATAGACAGAAGAATGGGATAGCTGGATCAAATGCTGCTTCCATTCCAAGTTTTCTAAGCAATCTCCATACTGCTTTCCAAAGTGGTTGCAACATTTTGCAATTTACCAGCAATGAATCAGTGTACTTTTCCCCCACATCCTCTCCGGCACTTATTGTTGCTTGAATTTTTGATAATTGTCATTCTGACTGGAGTACAATGAAATCTGAGAGTAGTTTTGATTTGCATTTCTCTAATTACTAGAGATTTTGAACATTTTTTCATAAATTTGTGGATTGATTGCATATTTTCTTCTGTGATGTGTCTGCTCAGTTTCTTAGGCCATTTATTGATTGGGTTATTTGTTGTTTTGATGTTAAGTTTTTTGATTTCTTTATATATCCTGGAGACTTGTGCGCTATCTGATGTGTGCATGGTAAAAATGTGCCCCCATTCTGTAGGCTGTTCTGTATACACTTTATTGATAGTTTCTTTTGCTGAGAAGAAGATTTTTAGTTTGAGTCCATCTCATTTATTGATTCTTGATTTTATTTCTTGTTAAGGAAGTTGGGGACTAATATGACATGATGAAGATTTGGGCCTACTTTTTCTTCTATTAGGCACAGAGTCTCTGGTCTAATTCCCAGGTCCTTGTATTATTTTGAGTTGAGTTTTGTGAAGGGTGAATGAAAGAGTTTTGATTTCATTTTGCTGCATATGGATGTCTAGTTTTCTCAGCACCATTTGTTGAAGAGGTTATCTTTTCTCCAATGTATGTTTTTGGCAACTTTGTCTAGTAAGAGATAACTATATTTATGTGGGTTTGTCTCTGTGTCCTCTGTTCTGTACCATTGTTTTGGTGCCAATAGCATGCTGTTTTTTTATTATTATTATAGCTCTGTAGTATATTTGGTGTAGTTTAAGATTGGTATTGTGATGCCTCCTGCTTCACTCTTCTTGCTAAGGATTGCTTTGTCTATTCTGGACCTCTTATTTTTCCAAATAAATTTCACGATTGCTTTTCCTATTTCTATAAGGAATATCATTGGGATTTTGCTTGAAATTGCATTATATCTATATAGTGCCTTTGGTAGTGTGGTCATTTTGACCATATTAATTCTGTCTATCCAAGAACAAAGGAAAGCTTTCCATCTTCTAAGGTCTTCTTTAATTTCTTTCTTTAGTGTTCTATAGTTTTCACCTCTTTTGTTAGGTTGGTTCCCAAGTATTCTATTTTTTTGAGGCTATTGTAAATGGGGTAGTTTTCCTAATTTCTCTTTCAGAAGATTCATCACTGATGTACAGAAATGCCTTTGATTTATGAGTGTTGATTTTATATCCTGCTACTTTGCTGAATTTATTTATTAGTTCTAGAAGTTTTCTGGTGGAATTTTTGGGATCCTCTAAGTATAGAATCACGTCATCAGCAAATAGTGATAGTTTGAGTTCTTCTTTTCCTATCCATATCCCTTTAATTTCTTTCATCTGTCTAATTGTTCTGGCTTGAGTTTCCAGGACTATGTTGAATAGAAGTGGTGAAAGAAGGCATCTCTGTCTTGTTACAGTTTTTAGAGGGAATGCTTTCAATTTTTCTCCATTTAGAATGATGTTGGCCTTGGGCTTAGCATAAATAGCTTTTACAATGTTGAGATATGTTCCTGTAATCCCTAGTTTTTCTAGTGTTTTGAACATGAAGGGATACTATATTTTGTTGAATGCTTTTTCTGCACCTATTGAGATGATCATGTGATTTTTAAAAAATCTGTAAGTCTCTTGATATGATGAATTACATTAATTCATTTCTGTATGTTGAACCAACCTTGCATCCCTGGGATGAACCACACTTGATTGTGGTGCACTATCTTTTTAATTTGTTTTTGTATGTGATTTGCCAGAATTTTGGCATCTATTCAGATATTTTTTTTGCATCATAATTTTTGCATCATTCAGATATTGGTCTGAAATTTTCTTTCCTTGATATGTCTTTGTCTGATTTTGGTATCAGGGTGATACTGGCCTCATAGAATGAGTTTGGAAGGGTTCCCTCTTCTGTTTCATGGAATAATTTGAAGATTACAGGTTTTAGTTCTTTGAAGGTCTTGTAGAACTCAGTTGAGAATTCATCTGGTCCTGAACTTTTCTTGGTTGGTAGGCTTTTGAAGGCATCTTCTATTTCATTGCTTGAAATTGTTCTGCTTAAATTGTGCATATCCTCCTGATTCTGTTTGGGTAGATTATATGACTCTAGAAATTTGTTGATGTCTTTAAGATTTTCTATTTTATTGGAGTATAAATTTTCAAAATAGTTTCTAATTGTCTTCTGTATTTCAATAATATCTGTAATTATATTTCCTTTTTTATCACAAATTTTAGTAATTTGAGTTTTCTCTCTCCTCTTTGTTAGCATGGCTAAGGGTTTGTCTGCTCTTTTAAAAAACATTATTACTTATATCTTTTTAGAAACAATATTATACCTTTTATGTTTACGAGAGAAGGGTCTGCATCCAAAAATAGCTAAAAGGGAGAAAGGGAGATTTGAGATAATTTTTTCTCTTGCTGTATATATACTAAGAATCTATGTATTTTCTTTCTCTCTCTCTCTCTCTCTCTTTTGAATCCAGGTAACAAAAGTAACTTATAAAAGTAGCAGAAACTTATTTTCTGAGGTTAGAAGTCTGAAATCAGGCTTCAACAGGGTTGATTTATTCTGAGATCTCCATTTTTAGCTTGTAGATGGCTATTTCCCACTTTGTCTTCTTGTTTTTTTCTCTGTCTACATGCACACATTCATCTCCAAATGTCCTCTTCTAATAAGGACACAATTCATGGATAAAATTCATATTGGATTAAGATCATCCCCCACCCCAGTGCTAAGGATTAAACCCAAGGGTGTTCTACCACTGAGCTACATCCACAGCCCCTTATCTGTAACCCCCCACCTTTTTTTTTTTTTTTGGCAGTACTGGGGATTGAACCCAGGGCCTTGCACATGCTAGGGAAGTGTACTACCACGAAGCTATATTCCCAGTATCCCAGGCATTTTTAATTTATTTTGAAATAAGCTCTTGCTAAATTGCTCAGGCTGACCTTGAATTTGGGATTTCTCTGCCTCAATCTCCTGTAAACTCAAATTCAGATTACAGGTGTATGCCATCATGAGGGCCTATGATTAGAGCCCATTTGTGTGATTTCATTTTACCTTAATTACCTATTTAAAGTTTCTATCTCCAAATTCATTCTGATATGTTAGGGGTCAGAGTTTCAAATAAGAATTTGTAGGGAATAATATTCAGTCCATATGTATGCTGTACATACTTGAAGGAAAGTTTTGGGTTACTATATGGTGTGTGTGTGTGTGTGTGTGTGTGTGTGTGTGTGTGAGAGAGAGAGAGAGAGAGAGAGAGAGAGAGAGAGAGAGAGAGAGAGAGAGGAGAGAGAGNGAGAGAGAGAGAGAGAGAGAGAGAGAGAGGAGAGAGAGAGAGAGAGAGAGAGAGAGAGAGAGAGAGAGAGAGAGAGAGAGAACTGAGTCCGCCCTTAACAGAAGAATGAAGTGGAGAGAAATCAATTCAGAGAATAA